CCGTCCATGCCGTCCTCGTCGCCGTCCATGCCGTCCTCGTCGCCGTCCATGCCGTCCTCGTCGCCGTCCATGCCGTCCTCGTCGCCGTCCATGCCGTCCTCGTCACCGTCCATGCCGTCCTCGTCGCCGTCCATGCCGTCCTCGTCGCCGTCCATGTCGTCCTCGTCGCCGTCCATGCCGTCCTCGTCGTCTAGTCGGCACCGTCCATGCCATCTTCGTCGTCTAGTCGGCACCGTCCACGCCGTCCTCGTCGCCGTCCATGCCGTCCTCGTCGCCGTCCATGCCGTCCTCGTCGCCGACCATGTCGTCCTCGTCGTCCAGGCTGCGGTCAGAGGGGCGCTCGTAGGCGCTGTCGAGGGCAGATACGACGACGCCGTCCATGTCGTCCTCGTCGCCGTCCACGCCGTCCTCTTTGTCCAGGCTGCGGTCAGGGGGGCGCTCGTAGGCGCTGTCGAGGGCTGACACGACGTCGCCGTCCCACACCGGCATCTCCGTCGCGATGCCTGCAGTTCAACAACATCAGTTACAATGTAATCAACAACTTGAAACATTGTCGATAATTCAACATGAATAACTAAGAAACATAATAACCGGATATAAATAACGAGCCCTAAATAACTGATATTAAATAAGAAAATATAAAAAAATATAATTATCAACAAATACAGCAAAAAGTAAAGAAGTGAAAATTAATAACAAATGTAACGAAAAGGAAATAAGTGACAGACGACAACCTTCAGAAACCAACCACAAAATAGTTTAATATGAATTAGAGCATAAAGGAGGAGAGAAAAGTAAGAAAGAAGTAATCAATAAGAAATAACTTTGATTTGGTATATAATAGCTATGAAGTGAAGCTATAGTGGAGTGAAGATATATAGTAATTATATATGCGTACTAGTGATAAAATAACACTTTTGTTATTGCAAGTTATTAGAAAAGGAACTGCAAATTTCCTTGGGTACGTTAATAACGAATTGTTAATGTAATTGTGTTGAATATAGTGAAATATCACTTGAATTAATATAATATATAGATCGCGTACCTATAGTCAGACTAAGTGTTCCTTTATTTAGAGTTTACTCATAGCCAAGAACCACCAGACTGTGTGTCAAGAGCTGCAGAGATAACGAGTGAGATAAGACGCTGCATTTATGATCATGGCTCTAATATTATGATCTGACTCATTATTTTTGAACGTGATGATGGTGCGTGTGTTAGATGGTGCAATAATAAAGCAATAAAAGTTTAATGGTGAGTCATCAATTACGAGACGGCTTCAAAAAGTTCGTGGAAACTGGCATAACTGGAAATTCTACGGGAAGAATATGATGCCAATGCAGCAGAAAGATCCTGTATTATTGTTTTATAACTTGTTCTCAAATGGGCCTTTAAATTAACTGTACAAACGCGAGACGCTGTTTTAACCGCAACAGCCTTTCATGCATCATGGCAACTAACGAAATTGTGATCAGGTCAAACATCAGATTCATGGTAAAGCTTGGGTGGAAGAACAGCCAAATCTCTGAATCTCTGAAACAAGTTTATGATGATAGTGCCTAAAATAAATCAGCAATCTACAAATAGCTGTCGTCCCAGAAACGAAAGAAATGAGACCAAAGATGACCCCTGCAGAACCAGGCCACGCACATCAGTTTATGTGGAAAACATTCATGCTGTTCGTGATCTTATTGACTAAGATATTCGAATAACCACCAAATCAGTAGCAGTAGCAACATCTCCGTAGTTTTCGCACACACAATTTTCAGTTAGGCAGTGAGCAAGCTCTCCGCTTGATGGGTTTGAATGTTGTTGCGCCCCAGATATTTTTATGGAAATTTTGAACAAGTGGGTTGAAAACCCTGAATTTTTTCTTAGGCGGATTTTGAGCGGAGATGAAACATAACTCTACCAGTACAATTCCGAAGACAAAACTCAATCGAAGCAGTGGCTGCCCTGGGGTTGAAGTGAGCCAGTCAAAGAAAAATCTGAGCGTTCAAGAGGAAAGGTTATGGTCACTGTTTACTGGGATGCAGAGGGGATCTTTCTAGTCGATTTCCAAAAGGACAAGAAAACGATTACGGCTATTTATTATGAAGACATTTTGTGAAAAGTGTCCAAGAAAATCGCCGAAACGCAATGGAAGAAGCATCGGTGCGACCTCTTCCACAACGGCAATGCACCCTCGCTTGGCGCTCGGCAAACGAGGGCTGAGCTACGCCAAATTTTTCAAGGAAATCATTCGTCATTTATCTTATAGACACGATTTGGGGTCATCTGAAGCAATTTTATTAACAAACCTGAAAAATTCATTGAAAGTTACCCAGCTTTCCACAGTTGAAGCAGCAAAAAGAGCTGCTACAACATGGTTCAAATCGCATGACTCTCAATTCTACACAGATGGACTTAATGGCTGGTATGAGCGTCTACAGAAATATATTGACAGGGCATATGTTGAAACATAAACCTTATGACTTGAACCACTTTGTTTGTTTTTCCACGAACTTTTTGAAGCATCCTCGGAGATTACCAGAGTATTAAAAATTTATGGTAACACAATTACTCACTGGAGTTACTGTATAGGTAATGGTAAGTAGCACATTAACTGACCAGAGTTAATATAAGGTTCTGACACTATTACTCACTCTACTTACCGTATAGGTAATGGTAAGTGGTACATTATATAACCAGAGGTAAGGGTAAGAGAATTACTCACTGGAGTTACCGTAAGGGTAATGGCAAGTAGTACATTATATAACCAAAGGTAATGGTAAGAGAATTACTCACTGAAGTTACCGTATGGGTAATGGCAAGTAGTAATTTATGTAACCAGAGGTAATGGTAAGTGAATTACTCACTGGAGTTACCGTATGGGTAATGGCAAGTAGTACATTATATAACCAGAGGTAATGGTAACACAATTACTCACAGGAGTTACCCTCGAGCCCCAAGACCTGCCTGTAGCCACCATGGCCCCAGGACCCTGAGCAACGTCTGCCCGTCAGGCACACCGCGTCCTGCTGCTCCAGCGACATCGCCGTGTGCACACGGATGTTCGCGCCCTCACACGGGTCCGTGATGCCTGTGATATTCATACCGGTGAATACGGGGCACCGCCAGTCATACATGTGCGACATGCATACAGGTAAATACGGGGCAGTGAAAAGTCCGACATTCATACGGTGAATACGGGGCACCGCCAGGCATACATGTGCGACATGCATACAGGTAAATGCGAGGCAGTGAAAAGTGTGTCATTAATGTTATTACAATACACTATTGTAATGTAGTGTGCCTACAGCCATATATGTTATAATTATTGATATTAAAATGTACTATTACAACGTACTGTGTCATTCAACTGAAGATGTCATCAGTATATAATAATTATAATATGATTATCATATGGTATTATAGGCACGCATGAGTTAAGGTTGATAGCAACATACGATGCAGAGATAAGAGGGGCTTACAATAAAAGATATAGACACACAATTATTTAGGAATAGATGAGTTCAGGTGAATCACCAGTCGAGTGGTGATTCATCGCTTGACTGGTGATTCACTTTGATAACTGAATGAATGAGTTCAAGAATGGACTCACTTTCTGTCCGTTTACTGAGTCAAACTGGGTCAGGATGACCCATATATGGGCGAAAGCTGCATTTGTATTTGCAAGAAGTCTCACTCATTGCTGTGAGTGTAGAAAGTTAACTGATAAGACATCAAAATTAAGTGATAACACAATGCACGTGGATATGACGCTAAGATACGGCCTACGGGGTCGGAAATAAAGCCTAGAGGGGGTTGAGACAATGCCTAAGGGGTTAAGATAAGGTTCAAGGGGGTTAAGACAAAGCACGGAGATAAGATAAGGCGATGTACAAGAGATATCAACTCACCAGAACGTCGAGCATCCATGGATTCAGCGGCTCAAAGCCGACGAAGCGCAAGCGCAGGTCGCGCAGCAGGCGGATGAGCACTTTGATGGTGGAATGGTGAGCGTTCTCCTTGAGCCTGCGACTGCACCATCATTGACAATGTTAAGATGATAGTGGTGAATGATAGTGAAAAGTTGAGGCTTGACTCACAGCACTTTGATGGTGGAATGGTGAGCTGACTGCACCATCATTGACAATGTTAAGATGATAGTGGTGAATGATATTGAAAAGTTGGGGCTTGACTCACAGCACTTTGATGGTGGAATGGTGAGCCATGGATGATAAAGGTCGTGGGTGTGATGCTAATTAATGATACTTATAAGATGAGGAGACGGCGGTTAGTGGCAAGCATTACGATGGATGATGAAGAATAAATGATGGTGTTGATGGATGATGGTGATAATGGATGATGTGATAATGGATGATGGTGATACTAAGATGTTGAATTTGCGTCAGGACGGCGGTTGACGATCGTCGTGTGGATGAAGGTTTACCAAAAATTTCTAAAGTCATGATAATGCTAGTTATGTTGAAGAGCACCATGGTTATGATGACAAAATTATCGGCATCAAAGAAGATGATGCAGAATTATAATCTTCATTAAGCTTAAAACTATTCACTGAACCGACGTTATAAAAGTCGGGGTAATTTCGCAGTCGTCAAGCCAGTATTACTTAGTGTGCTCATAATATTCATGACAAAAAACTTATTAGGGGTAACAATGTTAGCAAAGATAGTTCTGAGTCTAATATGCAATGCCCCATCATCAAACACTGATTATATATTTCTTCACACAAAATTTCTCAAGCGTTATTCGAACAGCCAGAAGATTAATTTCTTCAACTTGAACATTTGAGCAGCGATCACAGATCTCGTCGTGATAGTGAACTGACTCAGCTGATGGTGAGCACCAGCGTGATTATGTGCTGCGATAGTGAACTGACTCAGCTGATGGTGATCACCAGCGTGATTATGTGCTGCTATAGTGATGTGATAGTGAACTGACTCAGCTGATGGATGAGCACCAGCGTGATTAGGAACTACGTGGTGTGGAATTGACTGTTAAACTAAACGCAATGTGCTCTGCATCAAAAATCTTTCCTTTCAGCTTCCAGAATATATAATTTCCCAACTAAATCAACTGCCGTTAATGGAATATTATTTTCCCAACGTTAATTCCATTTTAAATGTTTGTTTTCTAATTACAAGAACATCCATAGTCACGCATAGCAACGATCCTATATCTTAGGTCCTTGATATAGAACGTGAATTTTTACTCAATAAATAACTTGTAGAGCCATTGGGAGCAGCAACCAGCACTGCACCAGTCGCCCTCTGCTAATTAGGAAGCAACTACACCCTCGCCCCTAATTAGATAGCAGTAATTAACGAGCAACTACACCCTCGCCCCTAATTAGATAGCAGTAATCAGCACCGAGATAAGAGAGGTGCGGGCGCCAAGGCACGACCACACGAGATCAGTGCGACGCCTAATTAATGCATAATTGCTGATCAGGTAATTATATGCACATCAAACTACCATCATCAACGTTATTCCATAACTCTTTCTTTAATTATTTTCGACTATTTTATTTATCCATGATTTTCATTTGCAATGAAAGTTCTGGAGTGGCGATGGAAGCAGAAGTATAAACTATAAAAGCGGGCATATTTGTTGGCAGATCAACATCATATGCAATAGTTGCTAATTATGGGGAAATGCAAATACGTCATTATAATTAATGCTTTCTACTATTCTCACAATTATAATTCAATTTTTCCTAAAAAATTTCACGCCCTTTATTATTTCCATCCGAGCACTATCATTTATACAAAAAATGTGCAATTAATCATTAGAATTATCAATCACGCACTATATATTCTCAAGTTGCGTGTTTGCAGAAACTTTATAATAATTCATGCCTTCTCCTTTTACCAAAATTGCAATTCATTTATATCTTAAAGCGTGCACTTTCTTATCTGAATTTCCATCCATGTATTACGTTGTCAAATCGTGGTCTTATCTAATTTAAAGCAATTTAATCTGGTGTCCCTCAATCTCTGTTGTAATGCCCATTTTTTCTACGGCAGGAAAATGATGCTGAAGACCTTACCAGTCCTGGTGGTTCTGCTGCTGGCCGTTCAGACAGGCCAGGGACAATGTCCAGATATCGAAGAAAAATTTTCTGAACATGAGCAATCTTTCAAGCGACTTCATACAAGTTTGTTGTCTACCGCCAAGGAACTGCAGCTTGCGGCGGAACAAATTTCTTCTGCCTTCGGTCTGGACCGGAATAACGACCACGGAGAAGATGACTTCGCTTTCGCCTATAACAATGATGGTTCCGGGGACGACATTCCAGTAGATTCACATGACGGAGGTTCAGGTGATGAGCCTTCATCGCCACAGATCTTTTGGAGAATACCATGAACATGGATGTGTGGAATTTGAGTCAAGAAAACAGAACATGAACCAAGCATCGTCGAATGGTGAACATCCGTAGCGAAGTGTACGAAATTCCACAAGTGGTGGTGGTTTATTGTGATTTTATTCTTAACGTGTGATTAATATGATTATTTTTTAGCAATGCCAGTGGCAACAATGCTGCCAGATGATCCGTCATGTTATTGGTACAGGAACAAGCCATTGCGGCGCCTAATTACCGATAAACGATCAAAATCAAAGTATAAAATCACTCAAGTTTAGGAGTCAAGGAATTATAAGGAAGAAAATGACGCACAATGCAATGCGCACTCGACAACCGAACGCCAACCCAAAAACCGAAAAAATACTTTTGCTATTTTTAGTTTATTTCATTAACATTGAATCCAAGAAATGTACGAGAATAATGCACTCAGAGAAAATAAATGGGTTATTTTGTCCAAATAGTGACTTACTTTCTAAACACACAGCACGAGCAGAGAACGGACGTAGCACTGATACGCCCTCTTACCGGACCAAAGTGAGTCAGGATGACCCACACAAGGCGACAAAGTGAGTCAGGATGACCCACACAAGGCGACAAGTGCAATGCTATTTGCACAAAATCTTGCTCGTTTCTCTGACTGCAGATAATTATTCTTATTTACTATCATTCATTTTAAATATTTGCAATACAAGCCGAGGCTTATATTTCATTGAGTTAGGAAACTTTGTTTCATCAATTCCTGTTGAATTTATCTTGATTTATAGTTTAGAGCCTCCAGCCCCAAGCCTGCATGTAAGCTCACATTGATTAAATTAAATGTATGTTAGACGCTCAGCGATAAGAACTGATTACTTGTTTTACAATCGATATGTTATCATGTGACGTGTGTTGTACGTAATATTCAATATCTGAACAAATAGAATGATTTTAAATGCATAAATAATAGGTTTGAATAAATAGAATAAAGCATAATAGCGAACATTAACTCGTTTTTATTAATCATTTCTTCAGACTTTCTCGGCTCAACTTGGATGCTATGACAACACTATTATCATCAGAGCATAGACAGTAGGAAGTTTGGTATTTCGTTTAGAAATATGATAACATTTACCACGCAATTTATTTCTAAAGAAAGACAAATTTAGAACACATTTTTCCATTGAGAGATAGCGCAAACAGGCGTCGATGTCGCAGTACGTAAATCCTTTCGACTTCCTTTTCCATGACTCATTTGTTTTCAAATCCAATTGTTAGCTTCAGTATATAGCTAGTCTCGTGCAATATGAAAATGACAATGCCGGAGCAGTTTTCACCATCGCAGAAAGGGCAAATACGCATCGGTTACATTCGTGGGGTTTAATTTTCATTGCAATGTAGAGAAAAAACGAAAAGAACAGGATTACCAACCCGCAAGTAATGCAGTGAATTACGTAAAATTGAATAAAAAAGTGTGTTGAATTCTAGGGAGCAACTACACTTAGAATGTCTGTACGTGTTAGACGCGAACGAACATAAGGTAGAGAAAAAATTCTCCCCTATGTTGGGAATCAACTTGCACCTCCAAAACAACTGTAGAAGAATGAATGCTGCGCCAATACAATGAATTTATAAAAATAAAATTTGGATTTTGTTAGCACTTGTAAACATTGGGAAAATATTCTACATCGAGAATTTCTGCCTCGAGTTCAACATCGTCATGCCAATCTCGTCCAATTCGTGGAAGTGGTTCAGACAAATTTAAATCAGGCACCGAATTAAGATAAAGCAAACGGTTAAAAAATCAATATCGCTTCAGCGGTTTTGCCAATATTTGAGGGCATCAACGCCACATCGGTTTGCTAATATTTGAGGGCATCAACGCCACATCGGTTAATTCCTTACTGAGTACAAGCTAGACGCACCTTGTCTATCTGCATGTCCAAATTTAATGGCTCAGATTGCGCAAATATTAACATAATTCCTTACACAATACAAGCTAAGAGTAGACGTGGCTCATATATGTGCTTTTTGCCAGGCTAAACTGGACCCAGACAAGGGCAAAAAAAAGAGTTGCTATTAGGACAAAGTCTTATTATTTCTCTGAGATTTCCTACAGCTAATACAGCAACTTCAACACCCGTGCCATAGCATCACAGAAACAAGCATCATCTTGATGCAATTATGACATCATGTTACAGCATCAATAATTTTTAAATATCTTGTACATCAACTGTAAATAGGTACACTAACAAATGGAACAAGCGTGTGAGGAACAAACGGTGTGTAAATTGTTTACAGTTCATGTACAAGATATTTCAAAATGATTAATACTGTAACAAGATTACGGATGTTCGCGCCCTCACACGGGTCCGTGATGCCTGTGTTATTCATACCGGTCAATACGGGGCACCGCTAGGCATACATGTGCGACATTCATAAAAATAAATATGGGGCAGTGAAAACTCAAAGATTCATGCGGTGAATACGGGTCAGTAAAAACTCCGTCCTCCTATATTTATACGGTGAATACGGGGCAGTGAGCACTGAAACATTCATACGGTTAATGGTGTCACAGTTATTTGTCCAATTTGGCTCATGCTTAAAAGATTCATACGGGTACGAGTTTTGTTATGCACGGTCATCTCCGGAGCAGTTGCTCTGGAAGATGTACAAGTTGTTTGAGTCTTAGTTTTCTTTATAGCAATCCATGGTCAACTTTGTCAAAGACTTTCGCTAGATCCAAAGTTTTGGAGCACCACCCAAAGCCATGCTGATGCACCGCCCTCGACAACTACAAAGCGCCGCTCTCAAAAGACACCGAGAAATGAGCTGAGCTGCCTCAGGCTCGAACCCACGACTCACTCCTTCATTTTCGGTGCCGCCATCACTGCGGTACAGTGTAACGCACATAATCGACAGACACTCTGACACAAACACTAACACAGCACCCACTCAACACAACACACACCAACATAACACACGCCAACACAACACACGCCAACAACACACACCAACACACAACACACACCAACACACAACACACACCAACATATAAGACACACAACACATACCAACACATAAGACACACAACACACACCAACAAATAATGACACAACACACACCAACACACAATACAACACAACACACAACACAACACAGCACAGCACAAGAGACCAGCAGAGCCGGGCAGGAAGAGGCCGGCAGAGAGGAGCTGCAGGACGCGCCTGAAGGCCGCGTTGACGGGCAGCGCCTGGCGGCTGGGGTTGTTCAGGATCGCGTAGTGCGCCTATAGGATAATTAACCTTGATATTATTACAATACACTATTGTAATGTAGTGCGCCTATAGGATATGTCATATGTGTCATTAATATTATTACAATACTGTATTGTAATGTAGTGCGCCTACAGGATATGTGTCATTAATGTTATAACAATACACTATTATAATGTAGTGCGCCTATAGGATATGTGTCATTAATGTTATTACAATACACTATTGTAATGTAGTGCGCCTACAGTCATATATAATATCATTATTGTTATTACAATGTACTATTACAACGTAGAGTGTCATTCAACGTTGAATATGTCATCAATATATAATTATAATATGATTATCATATGGTATTATAGGCACGCACAAGTTAAGGTTGATAGCAACATACGATGCAGAGATAAGAGGGGCTTACAATAAAAGATATAGACACAATACGGGACAAGTGACAACTAGCACGTCAATTATTTAGGAATAGATGAGTCCAGCTGAATCACCAGTCACGGGGTGATTACCACTTGACTGGTGATTCATTTTGAAAAATTAATGAATGAGTCTTAGAATGGGCTCACTTTCTGCCCCTTTTACCGAGTAAAACTGGATCAGGATGACCCATATAAGGGCAAAGCTGTATAAGTTGCTGGGTCTTAGTTTTTTTTCATGGCAATTCATGGTCAACTTTATAGAAAAATAAACTATAGATGCAGAATAACCTAGATGCTATATATAGATTTGGTATATAATAGCTACGAAGGAGCGTCCAATGACATAAGTTTAGTCAACTTAGGAGTTCTCTATTATAAATTTAGTGGTTTTCAGGTATTTGTATAAAGTCTATTGTTTCAGGTATTAGTATAAAGTCTCGCTCATAGCTCTGAGTGTAGCAAGTTGACTGATAAGACATCGAATTAAGTGATAACACAATGCATGTGGATCTGACGCTAAGATACGGCCTACGGGGGCGGAAATAAAGCCTAGAGGGGGTTGAGACAATGCCTAAGGGGTTGAGATAAGGCTCAGGGGGTTAAGACAAGCACGGAGATAAGATAAGGCGATGTACAAGAGATATAAACTTACTAGAAGGTCGAGCATCCATGGATTCAGTGGTTCGAAGCCGACGAAGCGCAAGCGCAGGTCGCGCAGCAGGCGGATCAGCACTTTGATGGTGGAATGGTGAGCGTTCTCCTCGAACCAGCGGCTGCACCATCATTGACAATGTTAAGATGATAGTGGTGAATGATAGTGACATGATAAGGCTTAACTGACAACACTTTGATGGTGGAATGGTGAGCGTTCTCCTCAAACCAGCGACTGCACCATCATTAACAATGTTAAGATGATAGTGGTGAATGATAGTGACATGATAAGGCTTGACTCACAGCACTTTGATGGTGGAATGGTGAGCGTTCTCCTCAAACCAGCGACTGCACCATCATTGACAATGTTAAGATGATAGTGGTGAATGATAGTGAAAAGTTGAGGCTTGACTCACAGCACTTTGATGGTGGAATGGTGAGCCACGGATGATGGAGGTCGTGGGTATGATGGTAATTAACGATAATTAAAAGATAAGGGACGGACGGCGGTTAGTGGCAGGCCTTACGATGGATGATGAAGAATGAATGATAGTATTGATGGATGAGGGTGATAGTGAAATGATGAATTTGCGTCAGTACGGCGGTTGATGATCGTCGTAAGGATGAAGGTTTGCCGAAATTAATTAAAGTCATGATAATGATAGTTATGGTGAAGAGCACCATGGTTATGACAAAATTAGCGGCATCAAAGTGGATGATGCAGAATTATAATTTTTATGAAGCTTAAAACTAATCACTTAACAGGCGTTATGACAATCGCGGTTATTTTGCAGTCCTTACATATTGTGTCCATAACATTCATGATAAAATAACATAACATGGTAACAATGTAAGCAATGATAGTTCTGAATCTAATTTGATATGTACCATTATCAAGCACTGATTATACATTTTTTACACACAAAATCTCTCAATCGTTATTCGAATAGCCAGAAGATTCATTTGTTAATCTTGAACATATGAGCAGAGATCACAGATCTCGTCGCGATAGTGTATAGACTCAGCTGATGGATGAGCACCAGCGTGATTGGGAAATAAGTGGTGTGGAATTGACTGTTAAACAAAACGCGATGTGCTCTGCAGCAAAAATCTTTCCTTTCAGCTTCCAGAATATACAATTTCCCAACTAAATCTACTGCCGTTAATGGACAATATTTTCCCAACATTAATTCCATTTTAAAATGTTTGTTTTATAATTACAAGAACATCCATAGTTACGCTTAGCAACGATCCTATATCTTAGGTCCTTGATATAGAACGTGAATTTTTACTCAATAAATAACTTGTAGAGGCATTAGGAGCAGTAATCAGCACTGCACCCTCGCCCCCTGCTAATTAGGGAGCAGCAATCAGCACTACACCCTCGCCCCCTAATTAGATAGCAGTAATCAGCACCGAGATAAGAGGTGCGGGCGCCAAGACAAGACCACAAACGGACGCCGCTATCGCGACGGCGCGAGATCAGTGCGACGCCTAATTAATGCATAATTGCTGATCAGGTAATTATGCACCTCAAACTACCATCATCAACGTTATTCCCTATCTCCTTGTTTAATTATCTTCGACTTTGTTATTTATCCATGATTTTCATTTGCGATGAAAATTGTGGAGTGGCGATGGAATTTTTATCTGGATTTCCATCCATGTACTACGTTGTCAAATTGTGATCATATTTAATTTCAAGTAATTTAATCTGGTATCCCTCAAACTCTGTTTTAATGCCCATTTTCTTCTACTGCAGGAAAATGATGCTGAAGACCTTGCCAGTCCTGGTAGTTCTGCTGCTGGGCGTTCGGACAAGCCAGGGACAATGTCCAGATATCGCAAAAAAACTTTTTGACCTGGGGCAAACTTTCAAAACTTTCCAGCGACTTCATACAAGTTTATTGTCTACCGCCAAGGAACTGCAGCTTGCAACGGAACAAATTTCTTCCGCCTTAGGTCTGGACCGGAATAATGACCACGGAGATGACTTCAGTTTTGCCCCACCAGGCCACAACCAGCCTATTGGTTCGACAGCAGCTCAAACAACCACGGTGGGTTTACACGGAGCAATAACTTCGGCAACCACGGCAAATGTTCCGGGAGAAAAGGATTCTGAAACTATGGTGGAAATTCCTATAGGAAATAACTATGATGGTTCCGGGGACGATGAGGACATTCCAGTAGATTCACATGACGGAGGTTCAGGTGAAGGGCCTTCATTGCCACAGATCATGTGGAGGAGAATACCATGAACATGGATGTGTGGAATTTGAGTCAAGAAAACAGAACATGAACTAAACATCTCCGAATGTTGAACATCCGTAGCGAAGTGTACGAAATTCCAAAAGTGGTGGTATTTTATTTTGATTTTATTTTTAATGTGCGATCAATATGATTATTTTTATAGCAATTCCAGTGGCAACGATGTCCCCACATGATCCTCCGTATGTTTGGTACAGAAACAAGCCATAGCGACGCCTAATTACCGATAAACGACGATAATTAAATTATAAAATCACTGAAGTTCAGGAGTCTGTCAAGGAATTATAATGAAGAGAATGCCGCACAATGCGAGGCGCCCTCGACAACCGAACGCGAACCCAAAAAACGGAAAAAAATCAGTTTTTGGTTTATTTCATTATTGTTGAATTCTTGAAGCGCTAAGTACGTCAAATCAAGGGATCTACGAGAATAATGCAATCAGAAAATGAATGGCTCAAATTGTCCAAATAGTGACTCACTTTCTCAACACACAGCACGAGCAGAGAACGGACGTAACACAGAAACGCCCTCTTGCCGCACCTAAGTGAGTCAGGATGACCCACACAAGGCGATAAGTCCAGTGCTATTTGGACAAAGTCTTGCTCGTTTCTCCGACTGCATGTAATTGTCCCTATTTTCCTTCATAGATTTTAAATATTTTCACTACAAGCAGAAGCGTATATTTCATAGAGTTATGAAACTTTGTTTCATTAATTTGAGGTGTTGAATTTATCTTGATTTATAGTTTAGAGGCCTCTAGCCCCAAGCCTACATGTAAGCTCAGCTTTGATTAAATTAAATGTATGTTGGAAACTCAGCGATAAGAATTGATTACTTGTTTTACAATCGATATCTTATCTTGTGACGTGTGTTGTACGTATATTCAATATCCGAACAAATAGAATGATTTTAGATATCTAAATAATAGGTTTGAATAAATAGAATAAATCATAAAAAACGAACATAAACATTTTCTTATTAATCCTTTCTTCAGACTTTCCCGACGCAACTTGGAAGCTATGATAACACTATTATCATCAGAGCATAGACAGTAGAAAGTTTGGTCTTCCGTTCAAAAATATGATAACTTTTATACCACGCAATTTACTTCTAAAGAAAGACAAATTTAGACCCAATTTTTCCATTGAAAGATAGCGCACACAGGCGTCGATGTCGCAGTACGTAAATACTTTCGACTTACTTTTTCACGTTTCATTTGTACTGAAATCAAGTGAAATTAGTTTCAGTATCTAGACTCGTGCAATGTGGAAATGCCAATGCCGGAGCAGTTTCCACCATCGCAGAAAGACCAAATCCGCATCTGTTTCATTTGTGGTGTTTAATTGTCTTTACAATGTAGGAAAAAGACGAAAAGAACCGGATTACCAACGCGCAAGTTATTCACTGAATTATGTGAAATCGAATAAAAAAAGTATGCTAAATGCAACACTTCGAATGTCCGTACGTATGAGACGCGAACGAACGTAAGGCAGTGAAAAAAGTCTCCCCATGTTGGGAATCAACTTGCACCTCCAAAACAACTGGAAAAAATGAATGCTGCGTCAATAAAAGGAATAAATTAAAATAAAATTTGGATTTTGTTAGCACATGTAAACATTGGAAAAAAATCGGCATCGTGAATTTCTGCCTCGAGTTCACCATCGTTATGCCAATTCGTAAAATTCGTGGAAGTGGTTCAGAAAAATTTAAATCAGGCACAGAATAAAGCTAAAGCAAACTGTCAAAATCGATGCCGCTTCAGCGGGTTTGCCAATATTTGAGGGCAGAAACGATACATCGGTTTGCCAATATTTGAGGGCGTCAACGCCACATCGGTTTGCCAATATTTGAGGGCTGCCACCTCAGGACATCGTTAGCCGGGCGACGCTAGGTCAGTTCTACGTTGCGACACGCCATTGCCAGGTATACCTAGTTAATGTAGCGTCTGTTGCATCTAGTCTATATAGCATCTAGGTTATGTTGCAGCTATTTTATTTTGTATCTAGTTTATGTTGCATCTAGTTCATGTTGCATCTAGGATATGTTGCATCTAGTCCATGTTGCATCTAGTCCATGTTGTATCTAGTCCATGTTGCATCTAGTTCATGTTGCACCCAGTTTATGTTACATCTAGAATATTACAGAATAGAATAGAAGTGTCGGCACTGAAGAAATAGGCCCATGGCCTGTTGCCGATTCTTGTACTTTTCGTGCCTTGATTAACAAGGGATGCGGCCTTTGGAATCCGATCTTTCCATAACTGACGATTATGTTGCATCTAGTTTATATGCACTTAGTTCATGTTTCGCCTAGTTTATGTTTCACCTAGTTTATGTTGCATTTATGTTGCACCTAGTTTATGTTGCACCTAGTTTATGTTGCACCTAGTTTATGTTTCACCTAGTTTATGTTGCACCTAGTTTATGTTGCACCTAGTTTATGTTGCACCTAGTTTATGTTGCACCTAGTTTATGTTGCACCTAGTTTATGTTGCACCTAGTTTATATTGCATCTAGTTCATGTTGCATCAATTTCTATTCGCTTCTCTTGCAAGCGAATAATCGAAAAATGACTTCAGGGTTCTCACATATGATGGATTGGACCTACTCACTCAACTGTGTTCAAATATTGATGTGAAGTTAAATTCAACAATTACGATTTGAGACACAAATTAAATTTTTTAAAGGGTTGAAGCTTGTGATTAGTAAAGCCCTAATTTATGGAGACAAATTTATAACGCACTTCACTACGCTAAATAGAAAAAAATTAGCTTTATAAGCCATGGTCTATTTTCTTCCAAGTTCAAATTTTTCTCATTATAATAAGAATTTTTTCGTGGAAGATGATGTATCTTCATCATGCTCTCAAATACAAAACAATTTTATTATCCCTTGAGCTTTTAAAAATTTACGATTTGCTTTATCGCGTTGTTTTCACTTTGGTCAGAATGAAGATGATGCTGAAGACCTGGTCAATGCTGATCCTTTTGTTCCTATGCGTTCGGACAAGTCAGGGACAATGTCAGGGTATCGAAGAAAAACTTTCTGAACTTGAGAAAACTTTCGAGCGACTTCGTACAAGTTTCTTATCTCATGTCTCGGAACTGAAGCTCGTGAAGGAACAAGTTTCTTCGGTCTTGGATTTAGTTAAACCAAGTGACACCGGAAAAGAAGACTTCACCACCTTTATCACTACTAGCCCCACCCCAATCCCCACCTCCACCATTCCTAGTGTCGTCAGTACCGAAAAGGTTCCAACTAAAGTAGAAACTCCCGAAAGAGTCGATGACGAAGAAGGGTCCGGCGAAGACGGAGGGTCAGGAGACGACGATGAAGGCAGTGGTGGCTCCGGAGATATCAAAAGCTTGAACGATGACGAGGACTTTTCGGAATATGCCGACGACGAAGGCAGCAGCGGGTCCGGAGACGGTAAAGATACCAAAAGCCTGGACACTGACGATGACGATGGCGAGTACTTTTCAGAATATGCTGACGAAGGCAGTAGCGGGTCCGGAGACGATAAAGATACCAAAAGCTTGGACGATGACGATGGCGAGTACTTTTCAGAATATGCTGACGACGAAGGCAGTAGCGGGTCCGGGAACGATAAAGATACCAAAAGCTTGAACACCGACGATGATGAAGACTTCTCAGAGTATGCTGACGAGGGTTCGGGTTCAGGGCATGGTTCGTTGAAGGCACTTTACAGGCGACCTATCGTTTTTGCCAAGTTGTAAATGAACCCCAGAAACTGATTGGGTCGTCTAAATAGTGATACACTTCCTGCACGTAGCACTGATACAACCTTTTACCGGGCCAAAATGCGTCAGGATGACCGACACAAGGGGCAAAAAGTGCATTTCTATTCAGATAAAGACCCACACATTTTTCTGTGTGAACCTAGAGGCACGAAAAATACCAACCTGAGCATCGGCGATAATCTCGGACGGGATGAAGCTTTCAGTAACAAATGATCGAAGCAAATGTCAAAAAATTCTAATTTCTGATGAATTATTCGAATTATTATGAATTAAAGAATATGAATGACTGACTGTGAAGAGGTGAGAATAAAGGAAAAGTGCGAGGGATTAGTTCGCAAGAGTGAATATAGAGGGAAAACTATGTAATGTGATGATTAAGCAGTGAGTACATAAGTAGGATTAGTAAAAAGAAAAAAATCTGAGGGAAGCGTATAGGAGAAGTGAATGAAAGATGAGTATGAAGAAGTGAATTAATGGATTTGTTATGTAGTGTAGCGAGGAGTGTTCAAGTAGCAAGTAGCTAGTCTAATACGATAACAGAACCATCATTGTCATTTATATAGTAGGGTTGCAATTTTATTTCGTCGAATTAAATCAATTTGTGATGCGTTTGTGAACCAGCCCACCGAATTCATGACATTTAAATTTCAGAGTTTAAAATTTCTTTAGTAAGTCACTGCGCGCTCGCGTAGCCACATTTTTACCATGCGGTGCGGACTCGACTTTTTCTGTTGTGTCGTTTCTAAGGTTTAAGGAGTTTGCCGACTTACTTTGTATTCATATAAATGTAAGCTAAGCAGCTTAGCAATAAGGATTCACTGCTTTTGTTGCTACTGATAAGTTTGATATAGAAACTTAATGATGAGCTTTACCTAGAAACCTCGAGGGAAGCTCGATCTAGAAAGCGAGGGAAAAGCTCGATCTAGAGAGCGAAGGAAAAGCTCGATCAAGAAAGCGAGGGAAAAGCTCGATCAAGAAAGCGAGGGAAAAGCTCGATCTAGAAACCGAGGGAAAAGCCCGATCTAGAAACCGAGGGAAAAGCTCGATCTAGAAAGCGAGGGAAAAGCTCGATCTAGAAAGCGAGGGAAAAGCTCGATCTAGAAATCGAGGGATAAGCTCGATCTAGAAACAGAGGGAAAAGCTCGATCTATAAAGCGAGGGATAAGCTCGATCTAGAAAGCGAGGGATAAGCTCGATAAAGAAAGCGAGGGATAAGCTCGATCTAGAAAGCGAGGGATAAGCTCGATGCCAGGTGGTACAGCACTTGTCCCAGCCATGACCCACTTGTCCCAGCCATGACCCACCTGTGCCGTATAGCTGCTGCAGGTGGTACAGCACTTGTCCCAGTCATGACCCACCCATGCCGTATAGCTGCCAGGTGGTACAGCACTTGTCCCAGACATGACCCACTTGTCCCAGCCATGACCCACCTATGCCGTATAGCCGCCAGGTGTGACTGCAGGATCTTGTAGTCGAGGTGTCTGTCAGGGTCGAGCTGCTGCAGGTGCTGGTGCAGCGTCGTGATCAGCACGCGCACGCTCGCCTCGCCGTTGCTCACCTCGAACCCGCGGTCGTCAGGCAGCATCGACATCACCAGCGCTGCACAAGGTTCAACATAAGTTAAATTCAATACACATATTTGTTCAACGCAGTTTTGTTCAACGTAATGTTGAATTCAACACACAGTTTTGTTCAACGCAGTTTTGTTCAGCACACAGTTTTGTTCAACACACAGTTTTGTTCAACACACAGTTTTGTTCAACACACAGTTTTGTTCAACACACAGTTTTGCTCAACTCTATTATGGTTTCAGCTCAATTTTGTTGGGTTCAGCATATGTTGGGTTCAATATATGTAATTTTTTATTCAACTCAGTGCCTGCTTTAGAAAGGCAATTTCAATAAGCTTCAGGCCACAACATGAACAAGGAACACAACTTCGAGATCAGTTCTTAATTCAAAACATTTAGCAGAGTTGAATAAAAAATCAGCTCACTATCGTAATGTTTTTTTGGGCCGCGGAATTCAGGAAAATAAAGACCCATCAAAAAATATATCACACCAATAATTATGAACATATCCATAAATAAATGAAAGAGTTAAGAAGCATTTACGAGAACAAGCGTGGGCCGGTGATGGATATAAGGTCTTAAAAGAAATCAACATTGATGAGTTGATTTTATCAATAGAACGGTAAATCATCATTATTTCAACATCATCTGCCTTGTGTGGAAGGCCCTCAATGTAAATTCATAATGAAAACCATCCTACATATAGATAAAAAGCGTTCATAATATTTTTCCAGGGTATAGAATAATAATATTATAGCTGAACTGCTGTATGATGAGAATGCCAACACTGATGATGATAATGATTCTAATCAACAGTGAATATATCAATGATAATGTCTATCTTACAATCACCAGGTTCATGCAGCTTGAGCATCTCGAGCAGCTTCTTGGCCAGGACCTGTACGGCCTCCCTCGTCGGGTGTGTCTTCAGGATGACGATGACATCAGCGACGTTGTGGCCCGTCACCATCGTCCCCTTCTTGTACGACCCGATCTGGCGTACCTCGTCTATCTGCATTCCCAAAATTATTGGCTCAGATTGCCCAAATATCAACATAATTCCTTACACAGTTCAAACTAAGAGTGGAGATAGCTCAGGTATGCATTGTTTGCCAGGCTAAACTGGACCCACACAGGGGCAAAAGAAAGCATTGCTATTTGGATAAAGTCTTGTTATTTCTCTGAGAGTACAATTATAATATTGCAACTTCAACACTCGTGCCATGGCATCATAGGAACAAGCAGTGTCTAAACAAATGGAACAAGCGTGTGAGGAACAAACGGTGTTGCAGGTGTGGGGGAGAGGTCGTTGTTGCGCTTCAACAGAGCCTGCAATAAGAGAACAATAATTACTGATCAATATATTTTATTTATCATTGGCATTTTTTTATACTTAAATGAATTAAAATAAAAAATAAGGACCATTGAACAAAGTATCTTAGACCCATTTACCTATCAAGTAAGATTTATCTGAATAATGATGGCCTCTTGAGTCTTGACAATCATTATGAAATCAAACACAAAATTTTAATCAAAAGATTATCATTGTGCTCATTACCTGGTAACTGATAATTTTACTTTATTAACTGAGCTTTACATATATTAATCAACTAATATATACCCTGCTTATGAAAAGTTAAAGACTCTTTAAGAATATAGTGTCATACCAGTTGTCCATGAATATGCAGTACGGTACTGAACTTAATGGTGCTGTTATGCAGAAGATATTCTTCAATGAATGTTTAATTCCAGAGAGAGAATTCTTATTAACAAATTTCTTATTGCTCTAATCAATTGAACATAGAAACTGTGATGAATTATAAAAAATTGTTAATAATAAAATTAATAATGACTCATTGGTCTTCAACAAAACCTGATTAAAAAAGTAAATACCATACCTACCAATTTAAATAGTCTCATCAATGCCCAACTTACTTGTGTAAAAGCAGACTCATCAGGTGCAGGCTTGGCTCTTGGGAAAGCAGACTCAGAAAGAACCATGTCAAAAGGAAGCCTGGGCACAAATGGCTTAATTTTGTGGGCAAAAGGGGGAGGGCCATGGCCTAAAGGTCTGTGCATGCCACGCCCTCCTCTGCGGGGACGACCAGTGCCTCGCTCCCAACTCATTTCTTCTGAAGAATTTTCTCTTGCAACTAATCTGGCAATTGAATGCTAAAAAATTTCTCACTAGTAGTCCAGTATTTCACTGCTCTTAAACTTATTGCCTGCACATAATAAAGTAGTTAGTGATAGCAGACTTGGTCAAAACATTTGCTAAGCAGACACATGCATGATAAAATTACATAACTTGTTACTAACATTTGAAGCTGTCACGAAATATCAAAGAGATATTTTGAGATTGTATTATTTTTAACAACATTCACAAGACAAATAATTCCTATGATGAATAATAGTGCTTCAGCACTAGGTATTTAAGGCCAAAAAACAAGACCGAGTACAAGAAAAGAATATGAACTGCTACGCACATACCTACTGTAATTTTCAGCAAAAAAAACAGAGAGCAAGCTGTATGTGCTATGCTTGCAAATTATTTAACCTTTCAAATTGCAAATTTGTATATTTCATAAAAGTTATGGAAAATGTACACACTTTTGGACTGTATGTTTTGCAAAATCACCCATGAAACTGTAAATTTCACCCATGATTTTTTTGAAAATTCTGCCCAATATTCCAGAATATAATTGAGAAACACTGAATGCCTGCAAACAAAACAAACAAAGTCAAGTTTAGAACAGCAGCTTGATAATTATAAGCATACCCCAAAAATTCCATGAAAGTTGTTTCAGTCCCCCTCAGCCCTCTTTAGGTGACCACCATCCACCTGAATCAATCACTAAATTTGAAGCAACTGGTGCACCGTTGCACGTTCGTTTTACCGACATAAAAGCACACATACAGCTTTTATAAATAATTCAGGTAATCAGATTTCAGCCTGAGCTATTCACTTTAACCACCTCGTTTGTACTTTTAGTCTTCAGAAAATTTTTTAGTTAGACGACACTCAACAGACTTACGAATTCTACGACCTCATGCTGCCATGCACCGATGATGCACGCTGAATCGCTGATCGCAAACTGCAGAGTGCAAGCTGAGAAGCTCCATCTCCATTCTCCAGTCCAATTTTAACTTTTACCGGCACTAAAACGCGGATGACTGAAATTCGTTAGAAATGATTATTGGGCGTGCGTGAGCTTTCTTCAGTAAATAAAATAAATATTATTTCCATTATGACATAACAAAAATTCATGAGGCAGATGCTCTCGTTTGAATTTTGCGTATACCCCGCCAATGGAAGATACTCAGTTCCGGGGAGCTCACAGACTACCAAGTAGGGTGGTCCTCAAAAAACTATTTTTCTTGAAAATAAGTTCCTACCTCAAAAACGGGTTCCTCCAGAGGCCTAAATAATATCTATAAAATATTTTTTGAATCAGTTAATATTTAGAGGTCGCTCAATGGTGTCAAAGTTTTACCCTTATGGCTCAGGTTTACTGGGTCCGTAGAGTGAACAAAGAAATGAGTCTAAACATTGGGGTTGTCCACAGTGGGTTTAAAATTCAAACATAGTTTTCCCACTCTCCTACATCACGCTCTGATTTCTTTATGGAGATTTCTTAATGTGTAGAAATTTCGAAACTCCCACTGAACACTCCCACATAACTCCAGAAACTCCCACTGTGCCTGAAACTGTCAACAGTGTGCCTAATGTTCCTCCCATGACCGCCTGGAATGCTGCGGCGACAGTAAGTTCATGGATGTTCTCTGTGTTTGATGCCGTTCTATCAAAAAACTGCCAGCACACGATCCTCAATCCCCAACTCCCACAGAAGCGCGACGACGGCATTGCTCCGCACCCTCCCCGTACCGTTGGCGAGCTTGGGAACACCGAGGAGTTGTACGGCTCCTTTCCTGCTGACAAGGACAGGTAGACGGTCCACGTGCTTCTTGTTCGTGAGTTCCTGCATTAGCTTTTCTTCCCAATGCNCCGGAAGAGGACAAAGCCGAGTGGTGCACGGCTGATTGGTGTAGGTCCGGAGAGATCTAAGGCGTTCGATTCAGGGCTTATTGGTGCACAAAATTGGTGGTGCACGGCTGCGCTCCCAAAATTAGGGACCAGTTGTAGGACCTATACTACAGTCTACATTATACACCTGCGGAGGACACATAATTCTTCCTACTCAGGATGATGAAGGACTTGTTGGAGACTACTACTTGTAGAATCTTGAATTTCTATACAGGATCTACCCGACCTCAATTCTCAATCCCGGTGTTCGCAACAACTTGGACTCTTCTGCTTAATCCAATCCAAAAGATCTTGATATAATATTTAGTCAGTCGTGTTGGATGCAAAACAGATTTAAATTATTTATTTCATTTAGATTTTCAATCGCCCTGAAAGTTAACCGTCGAATTAATTTTCGTCTATTACAACGTTAAATTTTCGCCGTAATGAAAAACTATTTCGAATCGAAGAAGAGCTACTGGATGTAAACTAGCTACGAAAGCGCATTGCACTCGAAAATTTAGAGCTCGCAAAGAAATTATTAGACTACCAAAACATCTAACATAAAATAGACTTTAGAACTCAAATAATAAAAAAAAATTTAACTCAGTAGTCACTGCAGTGAGTGACAGAGAGCGCATTTTCTCGTCGACGAAAACGTGAAGTCACGGACGGACGGACGGACAGACAGACGGACATAGCGAGCACAATAGTGCATTTTTCCATAAATGAGAAAATGCGCTAAAAATTATATCCCGTACTACTTCCCAAGTTCCCGTTCTCACGGTCCATTACGAAGTTTCTCTCTGCTCAGGTTTTGGTGGGCGAACGCAGGTCAATATACCGACTTTATGAAAGCCTTTGACTCTGTGCCCCACCGAAGACTGCTGTCCAAGGTTTCATCACATGGTTTCCAGGGCAAAGTATTGAGCTGGATCCAGGCCTTCCTATCTGGCAGAACACAGTGCGTTGTTGTTAATGGAGAGAGATCAACTCTGGCACCTGTCACTAGTGGAGTTCCTCGGGGATCAGTTTTGGGCCCCATCCTGTTCGTCATTTACATTACCGACCTGCCGAGTTGCTGCACTAACATGGTCAAGATCTTCGCCGATGACGCGAAGGTGTTTGCCCGAAGTGATAGAGCAAACGCCGTTCAAACACTGCAGAATGATCTCAAGTGAATGCAGGAGTAGTCAGATGATTGGTTACTCAAGTTCCATCAGGAGAAATGTCACGTTCTGAAACTAGGAAGTAAGAAATGTGAGGCAAAATACGTCATGAAGGGAACAAAGGATAGGAAGTCGTACACGGTACAGCTTTGGGAGAGCGAAGTAGAAAGGGACCTGTGGGTCTTCGTTGACAGCTGTCTGAATTTTGGGGAGCATGTGGCAAGAGTGACGTCAAAGGCAAACCAGGTGGTGGGGGTGATACGGCGTAATTTCCACTTCCTCGACGAAGTTTTGTTTGTTCAGCTTTACATGAGCCTTGTGAGGCCCATAGTTGAATATGGACATTCTGCCTGCCAGCCGTTTCACAAGACTCTATGTTCTGACATTGAAGACGTTCAGAGACGGGGCACCAAGCTCCTCTCTTCGATCAGAGATTTGCCATACTCCGCCAGGCTAGAAGCGTTGCGTCTCCCCTGTCTTGAGCATAGGCGCCTGCGGGGTGACCTTATCGATACGTAAATGGACTGTACAGGGTGTTAAAGCCCGAGTTCCAGTTATCAAGCAACAGGGATACTAGAGGCCACTCTCTTAAGCTCGCAAAAGGCAGATGCCGACTCAGCGTAAGGAGCATTTTCTTTTCACAGCGAGTAATTAACTCATGGAATAGTCCGCCAGAGTCGGTCGTCACAGCGCCATCTGTAAACAGCTTCAAGAGCAGGTTCGACAGTTTCTGGAGGGACAACACAGCCCTGTACAGCCCTTCATGCTACAAGTGATGAGGCTTCGATCATCTTGGAACAGACACTGCGACGTGCGCGGTGCTGATAAAAATTGTTGTCGACCGATGAACAGGACCGTCAAGGACCTTAAATCATATTGTCAAAGTCAAAGTCAAATGGAAGGATAAGCTGCTCCTTTTCCTCTCACTCCTACGTCCGAGGCAGCTACCTAAATGTCACAACAGAAATACTAATATTTCCATCCAGTGTTACTGTTACCGAAACCTTTATCTAACCTCAGAGTTAACCTATCAATATCCCTCGAAAACCGTCAGCTGACATCAAATTATTCAGTCGTGCAGCGGTCTAAGCTTGAACTTGTACACCTCCCGACTAGTAGGCTTATAGCATCAGGGTCAGTTTCGTTAAATCTGGTCAAGAGACAAGTTTTTAACCGGCAATCATGTCACTAACGTCGCAACAATCTGGACCACAGGCACAAGTTACCCTAATCTCTAGCGTTGTCGCTACATTATAATGCCATTGAGGGCATAGCCTTCAAAAAATTTTCACTTATTTGCATATTTTAAAATGTCACAATAAGCAAGTTTCCCTCATTATCGATATAAAAGACTTAATAGAAACACTCCACTTCGGTCCCTGTTGTCTTACCTTACAAAAAATTGACTAATTTTCGTTTAAGAGAAAATTTAGTAATTCAAATCCACAAAGAGGAATTCGACGCTGACAGCCACAGACCCAACAAGGACGTGAAAGCTGCCTAATGTGTTCAAAGGCGAAATAAAACAAAGAAGGTTCAAGTTAACACCTGTATTTAAAGAGCCATCATCATTTAACAGATTAGTTATAATCATATCGCTTTGGTATAATTCATTGTTCTAATCCTTTTCGTGATCACGTAAAATTTTTAGGTCCTTTACAGTACGATCAGGTACCACTCACTTCATCAGTACAACAGCACCACTCGCTACCTAACACCGTCCAATACTAAATATAAGGCAATAATTTTTAGTAATGCCTACATTTACTCTTAATTTAGGCGCTAAAAACAAGAGCACAAAGTAGGGCGCTTGCATCACGTGGGTGGCAACTGTCGTAAATGGTTGCTAAATTATCTTAGGTATCGCAGGATACCTTTGTGCGAGTTAATACCTAAATAATTAGAAATCGTCTATCATTCCAAATATTGAGGTACCACATAGAAGAGAATGATTAATAATTCATCAGCAGATTAAAATTTACCTGTACTGTTTAGGGTATAATTTACATTTACTTTTTAAGGTATAATTTATCAATATTGTTTAAGGTAAAATTTATCAGCACTGTTTAGGGTACGATTTAACGGTCCTGTTTAAGGTATAGATCATCCTTACCGTTTAGACTTTAGAGTATAATTTACCAGTACTGTTTAGGGTACAATTTACCTGTACTTTTTAAGGTATAATTTATCAGTACTGTTTAGGGTACGATTAATCAGTCAAGGCAAGTTGGTCGGATTCTTGGAAGGGTTACGATCGTGTTTGCTATACTTGAAGCTGTAACATACATATTTAATGTATTCAACTCTCTAGTATTAACTTATTTTAAGTATTAACGACGATAACGTGTTCGATTATAACGTTTTTACATGCGGGCAGTAAGGCAATCAAATCAGAGAGAAAGCAAAATTATGTGTTCAGGCATTATTTTAAATCGAAATGAAATCTTTGTGTGAGGATTAAATCTAAGATTACATCTTATTATTGAATGCCGTAGGCAAGCAACCACACTCTGAGAAATAAGTGATAATTTGTCCAAATTTGTCCACTTTTTTTGCGTTATGCAGATCAAAATAAGCGTATCAAGTGTGCCACCTTTGGACAGTATGACCCAATCATTTCTCTGAATGCAGTACATAATTCTTTTATTAGTGCAGAGAAAATAGCAAATATGGTACAAAAAATAATAAAAATTGAGGACAATAAAGAGTAGTAAAATATAGACTATACCTAAGAGGCCGCGGGTTTTGATAACGTATCAACACAAAGAAATTAATTCAAATAAAGTTCACAACAAAGGAAAAATACAAAACGCACAACACAACCCGAGAGAACACACACAAAACTTTATACACCATGAAAAGATGCATTAGCACAATTACAACTTAGTGCGAATATTTATTGCTTTAATATCGCGAGTATATTAGTGAAACTAGAGTAGAACTATCACATATATAATAATTACTTTATAATAACTCTTCATTTATTATAATAGGAATATATTTTTGGTCCCAGCGCTGCAGTGCTATGTTGATGGCCGGGGTGAAAATCTGCACAAAATGAACAGATGAGTAAACGGACAAATGATTGATTGAGTTTAATTTCATAAATATGGTCATATGTTTCATAGATAATTCATATATATTTTATAGATATATTCTCATTTGAATAAATTCAAGTAAAAGACAAGAAGAGCACAAATATAATATTTATTTATATAAGAAATTATATAAATAAGTATAAGCAACATTTGGTAACACAGGAGCGTGGCAACGTGCGAGCTCACAAGGCAGGTTAACACCAAAACAAATGGTCGGTCAAGTACATTTTTTTTAAAAGTCCAAATTTTGAGAAAATTGCTTCATCGTTTACACTAAATAACTTGAATTTTTCTTCAATGATAATGCTACTTCAGCTTTTAAAGAACATGAAAATGGTAAATTTGATTTCGCGAAATCATCAACCTGAATTAAGTAACAATTTTTAAAATTTCTAAGGGATATGCTAACTACCGTACACATTGATAAGCTAATAAGTCAAGCTATCATCGTAACTATGACGTATCAACATCATCATGACCCACTACCATTACCATTACTGCATGTTCAGACGGCGACGTAGGCCTGTGCCAGTTGACACACTTGTTCCCTCAAGTGGGTCAGGTCCGTAGAGGTGATGGAGGGCGGCTTGGGGCGGTCGCGGGTACCCGCCTGGCTTCTGCTCGCCACCTGCTGCACCAGCTGCTCCGGGGCACCTGCTGCGTCACGGGACACCACCTGCAATTATATTAGCAATAATATAATACAGATATACAGTATATATGTAGCTTATATTTATATTGCCACTAAATTTATATCCACTACGCTTATATCTTCTTAATTAAATAAGAACTAATCTCGTGAATATTTGTTAAGTTTTATTATTGTAACGGGATTAGAGACAACAGGGATGACGAAATTTTGCATAACGGATTCCAAAATTGCTAGAATTATCAAGCCTGGCAACGTCGAGCTAACCTGCCAGGTAAACTATTAATGACATTAATCATCTCTTATTTTGTGTTACTGCATGCACGGTAGACTGAAGCAGGCGCCTTTTACAGCCAAAAGTTAGAAAAAAAAATGGATTCCAGCCAAAAAATTCAAACAGAACTTAAAATTCGAGACCAGCGTCAGCCGATCTCATGCAATGTTAATAGAGGAGTTCCTAAGCCGTCATCAGCACCTTGCTTCTTGGTGGTGCAATGAACTTGAATGCTTCATTACCATGAGCAAACATCTGCTTGATATTTTATCAAACTATGATAGTTAGGATAGCGTTAGATTTATTATTGTTATTATTTAATAGATTATTAGATCTATTATTATAGATTTAGATTTATTATATTATTTAAACAAACTATGATAGTTAGGAGAGCGTAACAAGATATTGTGTCCGTGGTAAATGAGGGTAGGGGGTGGCCTCACCAGGTGCAGGGTGAGAGGGTAGGGGGTGGCCTCACCAGGTGAGGGGTGTGAGGGTAGGAGGTGGCCTCACCAGGTGCAGGGTGAGAGGATAGGGGGTGGCCTCACCAGGTGAGGGGTGTGAGGGTAGGAGGTGGCCTCACCAGGTGCAGGGTGTGAGGGTAGTCAGGCGCTGTCCTCTCGGCCTCGATGTGGCAGTTGAAGCGTCGGTTTGGCCTCAGGAAGTGAGGGCAGGCCTCAACGTGACAGCAGTTGCGGCAGAGGCGCACGTCAGGCCGGTACCTGCGGCATAACAATAACGTGATGGCATAACAATAACGTGATGGCATAACAGTAACGTGATGGCATAACAATAACGTGATGGCATAACAGTAACGTGACGGCATGAGAGTAACGTGATGGCATGACAATAACGTGATGGCATTTAACGTGATGGCATAACAATAACGTGATGGCATAACAGTAACGTGATGGCGTAACAGTTATTGCAGTTAACAGTACATGCATAACAGCACATGCAGTTACGTGGCAGCAGAGAGAAGATATGACAGCACCAACACAACACAACACAACAAGACACGTAACGTATAACATTATAATTATATAGATAAAGTATAATACCATCATAATTATATACGTAACGTATAATAACACGATCATTCTATACATAACGAATAATAACATCATAGTTATATCCGTAAGGCGCACTTGTAGAGGGTGTCGAAGTTGTCTTCAGTGACGGGGACGCCGAGGGCAGCAGCGCGGGCGATGAGCTGAGGGCGAGTGAGGGGAACCGCGAGGCCGACGTGCGCGGCGTCGTACGCGGCCTGCCAACGCTGCTGTGCCACCTCCAGCACCTGTATATTACGTGATGATTAACTATCTTATTATCATTAGTGATATTATGTTTCATTTGTGATAAAGAGTGCATCATTTCGTGATATTAAT